TAAATAAATTCGTGTTTATTTCTTTCATAGTTTACCACTTAAACTCCCTGTTAGCAAATAAGCTTTGTTATCCTAACGACGTAGTGTTTAGGCTTAACAACGTCGAAATATGTTATATGAATCACCTGAAAATGTGACCTTTCGTAACATTTATTTACAACGTCAGTTTGAAAATTTACAAGGTAGAAACAAGGTTCCAACTAAACCAGAGGTATTTTTAGATGAGTCTTATTGCCATTTACATCATACTACAGGTCGTACTTGGATACTAAATCATGGGATTGTATATAAAGTTAGGCACGGACCTCTAATTATTATTTTTGATGCAATTATTATAATACACAATAGTAAAACCAATAAGCTTTTTGGTGAAATCGTTCCTAATTCTCTTTTATTATGGGATCCATCAATTAAACCACCTTCCTCTAGAAGAAGAAAATGAGCAAATGCCGATAAATGGACTAATATTCCTGATGTTATTCGAAATTCAAATATTGTGACAAATAATGTTGATTATCATGGTAATGTTACAGCTGAAATATTTGAAGATCTTTTTGATAAACTTTGTGCTAATATCTAAGAGTGTTATGGATCAGTTGTAATTCACATGAATAGTGCTAGGTATCACAAACGTCGAATTGAACAAGTACCGACATCAAACTCAAGAAAGGATATAATGATCACATGGTTATTATCAGCAGGCGTTAACATTCCAGAAAATCTTAGTAGAGCAGAACTTTATGAATTAGTAAAACAAAATAAACCTAATGTCCCTTTTATGTGTGTTCAAATAGCCAATAAGTATGGTCACAATTTGTTTTATACTCTACCTTATCATTGTGAACTTCAACCAATTGAGGGAATTTGGTTAATTGTAAAAGGTGTGGTTGCTAAAACTGGTCCCCATCCTAATCTTCTTACTATTAGTGACAAATTATTGCAAGCATTTAAAGATAATGTTAATTCTAAAGTTATTGTTGGGTTTTAGAAAAAATGTCTTAATAAGGCCATAGAATATAAAGATTTAAGTGATGACATTTTATTAGTTGAAAGTGATTATGAAGATTTCGAAATTGAAGAAGTTGATGACTAGTAAAATTTTTTGTATATCTTCAAAACTTTAATAAAATTTATATTGAAATATATCTTAAAACTTAAATAAATTTAAATATTCATATTAAATTTTAAAAAAAATTTTTTTATTATAGATATATTAGTGTATCAACCTTTTTGCACTGGACCATATTATAGAAATAGTATCTTATTTAACAAATCAAGGATATCATGTTAAAAGCTATCACATTTTTCAATAATCTACTAAAGGCATAGTATTCACTTATTCTAAACAACTTAAAAACTTCAACATTATGGTTGGTTAACACTTATTGATTCTACTCATAAAACTAATTGATATGATTGATGACTTTTTACTTTATATATTCGCGATAATTATAGATATTGGAATATTAGTACACACTTTTTTATGAGTAATGAGAATGGTAACACTATTGCAGAAGCATTAACAATAATTTACAAACAATATTATTAATGAACTTCTTGATATATTCTTTCAGACCAAAGTAGTATTAAAGCAAAAAGTATTAAAAAAGCTTTTTCTGGTCTTAGTAGTGATGAACAAGAATATGATATAATTTTTTGTACTGTTTATATTATGTGAATATAGATGAATAAAATTTATGATAAAAAAATGCAAGATATTATGATTGCGACAATACATAAAAGAACAAAAATTGGATATGAAAAACTTATACAAAATGCTATAGATACTTGTCTTATTCTTGCCATTAAAAATTATATTAAAAGAAATTATATAAAAAATACATTACAATAGGTATTATGGGTATGACAGCATTTACCTTTATTTTTACAAGTTACTTCTACAAATTCACTAGAATTCTATTATAGTGAATTAAAAAGAGAAACGTCTTCATCATATGATCTGATTGGTAAATATAATTTCTTTATTTTTATTCTTTTACATATTTTTTAATTAATACATTTTTTATAATAGGCGTTATTCATAAAATTATTGCTCTTAATTTGAAAAAATAATCAGATTCTAAAAAAGTTGCATTTGATTTTCGTACTAAGAAAATCTCAGCTTTTGGTATAGATAATGATATTCTTGAAGAAAGTCGAAAGTTTCCTTATCCTCTTCAGCAATTACTTGTCAAAGAAGCTTCTGTAGTTATAGATAGACTAGAGAAAGGAAAATGTGCACCTGGATTAACATCATTTGATTGTTATTGTTTATTTCACAATCGATATTTGTTACCATGTAAACATATTTTTCATGAACATATGTATAGTAGTATAAAATTATTGATTGATAAAGTTTGGGAAAGATTTCAAGAAATGTTTAAGGAAAATGGATTTAAAATATATGTACATCATGAATTAGTAATAATTTTTGAGCAAATAGAATAACAAAAAATATAGAAAGCTGAAAACTTACTGTTAATGAGTTAATTAAAAGGATTCGTGATAAATATTGGCAGGTTGAAGAAAAGGGTAATATTTAACAAACAGAAACATATATAAATATGCTAGAAACATCTTTAAATCTGATTATTATGCAATTTAAATAAATAATAAAGTATTGATGGTTATTAAAAAAAGAATATCTGAGCTGCTTATTTTTTTTTTAAAAAAAAATTTTAATTGAAAACTTTGATTATTTTATGACCAATAGCATTTGCCATTACCTCTAACCATTATTATACGCTTTATTTTCACGTGATACTACTCCGTTTTAGATGACCCCCAACTTGGGTAACTGCATTTCCAATTTTCAATTTGCCTCAAATTTTAAATTGAGACAATAGTCAACTTAAGGAACTGTATTCCCAGCTTTCAATTTGTCCTAATTTTAAATTGGGCCATAGCCAACTTGGGGTACTGTATTCCCAGTTTTCAATCTTCCTCAATTTAAAATTGGGGCAATTGCCAACTTGGGGTATCATATTCCCAGTTTAGAGGTTGGAACCGGTTAATTTTTAACGGTTAATTAACCGGTTAAAACGGTTAACATGTTGACCGGTTAAAATAGATGAATTTAACTCCCGGCCGAAATTCAATATCCGGCCAGAATTAAGATTTTTATGATTGTAAAATATTGTCTAACTCTGGCCAAATTTATACTACCGGCCAAAGTTAATTTTAACAGGTTAATTAACCGGTTAACAAATATTTTAACCGGTTAAAGAATTTTTGGCTAGTTCCAACCTCTATCCCAGTTTCCAATTTGTTCCAATTTTAAATTGGGGCAATAGTCAACTTGGGTCACCGCATGTCTCAATTTTCAATTTTGCCCTAATTTTAAACTAGGGCAGCAAAATCGCATTGCCTAAATTTGAAATTTCAAATTGGATTGCCCGAAATTGAAATTTGCATTTGGGGCAGATCATTAACTTGGGGCACAACATCACTATTGCTTGGAATTTGGTAGATATTCCGGTTTTGCAATTAGGAAAAAAAGAGTAGTAAAGAATGATGATGGCTCTATTAGATCAAGATGTATGGACTGTGAATTTCCGGAAAGATGTCGTACCAAGTGGTAAAGTAAATAGAAAGGAATATGTATGTGGTAAATGCAAGGAAGTGGAACATAATGCAAGGACATGCAGGAATTAGTTAGTTATTATCACTTTGTTCTTACAACATAATTAAGTTCTATCGTTCAATTTCACATTTAGAGTTTATTAATTTAATTAGTTTAATGGCTCGAATTACTACTGTAGATCAAGCCGACCGGCTATATTCACAGTAGTAATTCGAGCCCGGCGACCGAAGGTCGCCAGAATTAATTTAGTATTCATTTAGGTAAATCCTAATCTTACGCTGCACGGAGATTTCTACATTTTCATATTTACCCACACCAAGTTTAACTGAGTAACTGAGTACTAAAATAACGGAATTTGTTTAGTAAAAGGACCTGAAAGTTTTTGATTTTGAGTTAGTTATGCTTAATTTTTTTTATAAACGAATGATCTATTGCTTGAATGTATGTCCGAAATGCGCATTTCAGATATTCCAAATCGGAATGCGTTTATATTGCGCTTTTCGCATTTAGGCTACAACATTAAATAATGTTCCAAGATCGGACAAGAAAGATCGACTGCAGTAAATGTTTCGAGGTCTATAAGAATGAAATTCGTAAAATTAAAGAGTTTGACAATATTGGCTTGTGAATTTCTTAAATGTTGAATGTCTCGATTTTTTGTTTTAAAAAATTAAAATAGCAATCAAAATGAATTAGGATACTTAAATGGTTTAAAGGAATTCGGTCTCTCTGGTATCTGTAATTTTTTACGAGGAATATAACTTTACGACAAGGAAAAAAAATGTTTTTTTCTCATGAATAAAACGTTTAATATATATACATTACTATACATCTTGATTTATTTTGATATGTGCGACCAAGTCGTACCCTCTAACATTCTATTGACAATGATCGCAATACTTATTCGTCGTCCCTTTTGGCTAGCTTTAAAGCATGAGCATAGATACACCTTTGATTGTAACTTTAGCAATAAATAGGAATGATCTTTCCGTTTCGTCGTATACAGAAAAAAAAAGCAATAATAACTACAAATGTAAATTTAAACTTTATTTTCGGAATAAAATATATATAAATTTTATATTTCATGGAAAATTATATCACGTCTTATGATATGCTTTTGACAGGTTACCTAATAAATCAATGAATTTTATATTCATAACTCAGAATTCTTGTCGTTTTATTCCTGATTCTATCTCTTTCACCTTTACAAAGAAAAAAATTCACTTTTTAACAACAGTATATATACAGAGCACATGTTATCAAATTAAAAAAGTTCGATTGATTAATGTTAATTAAAGTTGCATCAAGACCGAAAATTTTAATATTAATATTTTAATAAAATATTAGTTTAAATTATAGGTAAAATTAAAAAAAAACTTGTGAAATGTTTTTGGTATATTTATTTGAAGTACTCCGTAATATTTACAGATTGTTTATGCGTCAATGGCTGTGATTGACCGCAGCATTCAAGAACGTATATCAGGTTACGCGATCCTACTCCTTCCTAAATTTCAATTTTCAGCCTTGTTTAAACACACTTTTTGACCTTATAAGTGACGATACATAAACTGCGGAAATAGGTTACAATTTAAACATTTACAGGTAATATAATCGTGACAGCACGTGATCGTCAATTATATTAAATTAGGGATTATATGTAATCATTCATAAGATGAAAGACAGAACAAACTTAAAAAGTTCCGTCTCCTACAAAATTTAAAAGGATATAAAAAAAGAAAGTGTAATGCAAATTTTTGGATATTGTCTGTCAGTATTGACAGAATATAAGTATGAAGTATTGATTCTGTGGAAAGAGATGATTGTTGCGTCAAAATATTGACAGCGGATCATGGTGATTTTGTCACAGGTATAATACTGAGGCAAATTCTATCTGAATGATGAATCATGGGAAGAGAACGTTGAGGATTCATTCCAGAAATTATATCCCAATGCCCGATGGTTTGAAATACCAGCCATCTTCAACTTGCAATTAAAACTCATTGTTGGCGTGGGTCAATCTCTAGTGTAAAAATGGATAGTTAGTTGTAACCAAAAGGTCGTCACACTTATGTAATATTTTTGTCCTAAGCATTAGGACAATCAAATAGTTACCGTTCCCCAGTTAATATAATATGTTAAAGACACAAGAACTTATTTATCGCCAACATCATATTAACTAGTGATCATACCAATTAAATTACCTTTTAAACAACTAAAAGAATTATAATATATGTTTTTTGTATGTAGAGTTTTTTGTAGAGAAACCAATTCAAGCAGAGAACTTTAATTTCAAGTAAATGGCACATTCCATATTAAATTCAAATGTATAAATAAAAACTTTTATCTGGATTTTTTTTAAAAAAAATTCTTTTATATTATAACCAAAACAATACATACATGCACAAACAAATAAAATAAAAATAAATTCTTACCGAAGCAACTTACAAAACAAGAGAGCCCACAAATAGGAACTTTGCCCAAAATTGGAATAGCAACACATGATGTAAAGTAAAATAAATAATATGAAGAAATTAATCAATCCAAATGGAAGAGAATTTTATTGGAACCGACAAGGTGACAATTAAATAGTCTGCACATTAAGCCAACCGTTAAAATTTGGTGGTGGTACCAATTAGTTGATTTTAACAAGTCTAATGCATAAATCATTCAACCGAAACTTCACTTCTCGTTAGCAAAGCTTTCTTTGATCAAAAAGAATTAGAAAACTGCAACCATTTGCCACATTTATAAATAACGGTGTGATCTTTTTTAAAAAAGTCTCAGGTTGATTGTGTTAAATAGATAATAGTTGATGTCTATAATAAACTGTTCAGTGTATTATACAAACATTACGTGAGTTTTTCTAAGTCCTCAATTCAACAAGGCAAATTTGCTCACTATATATTAGATAATATTTAAGAAACAAATTTTATATGGTATGTACAATTACAATCAATTTATGGATCATATGATTTATTATTTTCAAATATATTGAGTTTAAAAGATTTTGAAATTCGTAATTAGTAACTTTTGATGAGAACTGTCATTGTGGTTTACGCGCGAGATTTACATGATCACGACTCCTATACTGTAATCAGATCGTTGGTGTCTGAAATCATTCGGTGCCTCAGTTTCAATTACAACTCATTATGGATCCCCCTTTTATTAAATACAACAATTAATTAAAAAAAAAAATTTGTTTGCATTCAATTTCTTTTTTAACTTTGAAAAATTTTTTAAAATTTTTTTCAATAACATCTACGCATTAAATTTTGGAATAATTTTTAGTTAATGCACATTTTTTTTTTAAAAAAAAAAGTTAAATATATTATTTTCTTTTCTAAAATTCTAAATAACTTATGCGCAGCTAATTTTATACAATATAGGTGGAACATTATAAAAACAAGTAACTTGATTTATGTAATTTAAACTTTTTGCCGTTAACCTATTTCTAATGATGTCACCCGCATATAGCACATGGTATATTTTCCCCAACATCACCAACAAAAATCTCTTTCACGTGATCATATAAAAAATATTTGTCACCCCTCGTCACACCCTTCACTTTTCATTTTTTACTAAGTATTCCAGGAACAGAGAATTTTTTCAGTGTGTAAAATCCTATTCGTTACACCACTATTCGTCACATACATAATGCTTTAACTCACGGTTAATGCCATAATTCTGGCCAAAAAGTCACGTAAAAGTGATTTTTTGTTAATGATCCTGGGTAGTTCACATGGTATCATCACGTAAAAATTTATCATCCGGATACACACATCACAAATTTATCCACGTAATTTTTTTATAATTAACGACTTCTCTCTTTTTACTGAAAATTTTCCACAAATTCTTATTATTATTTTTTATTTTTTTTTTTTAAAAAAAAAATTTGTCAGTTAGTTGGTCCTGGTTAAAAGTACTTAACATATAAAAAAATAAAGAAGTATTATACTATCTTAGGCGATATTTTGGCATAAAAAGGTTGTGAACGAGGTATTTTTTACATCCCAAATATCAAACCATGTTCTAAAGAGAACTTCTGCAAGTGATGCTTTGGCAAAAGCTTCAGCGTTGAAAGGTTAATCCCGCGTTCTTACGAGGTTACAGCATTTTTACAGTCTGAAAGCTTCCAACATATCCTAAAGATTTTTGCAAATGAACCGTGATGGTAATGGGTAACGGGTGTTAGGGCATGACACTGGTATTATCATGTAAGTATACTTACTTAGTTATCGTCGTCTTGTCATTTTAGCAGTAGGGTGGTCTGAATATTGTTAAGAGAAAGGATACCATCCAGGCCGTCAAAGCACGATAGGACTATATCGTGTCCCAAAATGAAATTATTTTCATTTAAAATCACGAGGGGGTCTCGTTGGTGATGTGGTAGCATAGTTGTGTTTAAAGGGTGACCCTCCTATTCCCAGTTTCTTTTATATAAGGCGTTCTAATCGCGTTCGTCCCCTTTCCCAGATCATGTAGGTGGCGATGAACCTAACAAGACATGTATGACGATTATCGACTTACCACAACGGGTCTCAGGTCTAAGCTCAGTTTATTAATTAATATCTCTCTTTTCGATACTCTTCTCTAACACCTCTAACAAGATCTGACAAAAAAGAAAGAAGTTGTTCATATTATCTAACGCACTACTCGACGTTCTTAAGAGTAAGGTTGAAATTGCATTTTAAGCGCGGTCATTCGGTGAAGTTGATATGAGGCTTCTTAGCCATAAGGTAATAGGTCAGTCTTACATATAGGGTTTCTTTACTTAATACTAGATGTTTAGTATAAAAAATGTATGTAATTTGGATTCAGTGTAGGTTCTTATTAGACTCATAAATGTTATATAATTTGAATTCAGGTGGTTGTATTCCTTCTCTCTCTTTATTTAGTAGAAATACTAAAATGTTTGTAGTTATTTTTCGTAATAGGACTTTATTAAAAAGAACGGTGTTCAATTTTCAATCTGAAGAAAGATTCGTCCTGATTTATTGAAGAGTCTCAGTTACGTGGATTACTGATCGTATTAGTGGGGCTTGGATTGAGGAATTGGTGCATGTTTACTGTTATTTTTGCTTCTGTTACTCACAATGGCTTAATTATTAATCCTTTTCAATTGAGCTGTTGGAAAGTCCAAAATATGAGCTAATTTAATCAATGAAAGAAAATCATCTTCAGGATATGTAAGTAATAACTTGCGTTAG